ATTCAGGGTAGCAAGCCAAAAGGACAACACTGGCTGTGTAAGCTAGAGAAGCGATGAAATAGGATTATTAACTTGCTGCTTATACACTCAGAGGATTTGAGTCATCATTATAAAATGCCTTCCAGCTCCTTGAACTACTGATTTAAAAATAAATAAAATCAGTATGCTGAAAAAGACAGTAAGCTTCCATGTTCAGCCTCTGCTGCATGTTCTTCAAACCAAAACTGGTCATAACTCCCTGAAAACTCCTTCATGAGGAGGAGAAAGGGACAGAATAATTTTAAAGGTAGATACAAATATTTGCTCTTCAAGAGCAAAAGCAAACTCTTTCAATCATTCCCTTTTTCTAGTGAAGTTGATTAGCATTAGCTGACTTGCTGCCAGGGAACTTGTCAGCAGACTGAGAGCATGGCACTCATGCCCACTGGAGGAAGGTAGTAAAATCTGCACCTGAAGTACAGTTACCAGGAATAGGACTGGAATGGCCCACAGCTGCTTCTGATTTGATCAGGATAGACCAGAGTTGCTGTTCTCAGATATTCACAGATCAGTGCCTGATACTGTAACAAAAGCCCCAATTAAAGTGCTGTAGCACTGGAAGCAACCTGGCTATTACTGGATTTCTGGTCCCCAAAGAACCTGAGGTTAAGAAAAACCTACAGCCGATGACAGGTATCAGAGTAACACGGCTATGTCCTAACCAGCCCCATCTCTCTTTGGCATTCAAAAGCTACACTGCAGATCCTACTGAATTGAGCTTCAACTGCCCTCAGACTTAGTTTGGGGAGCAAATGTGTTTATGCTGACATTAGTGTCCCATGTTTTCCAACCATGGAAAAAGCCTTAGAAACCAAAGGGGGGAAAAGCTGTGTTTCCCTCTAGAACAGTGTGCACGTCTGCTGTACATTGATAAACTGTCTCAAGGGCCACAACACGTGCATTTCAGCAGTATGGGTGGAGACTTCAGGTCAGTCTTATCACCTAGGAAAGGGCTGCAGTTAGAGAAAAGCATTTAAGACTTTGTCCCTCCCATCCTATTCAAGTTAGTGGTGATTACTTAATTTATTGTAAAAGACTGTATGTACTTCCAAAACTCCCAGACTTCCTCAGCTGACCAAGAGAGGATTAAAGACTTTCCTTCTGTCTGATGCATTTAAGTGCTGCTCTTAGTGCATGTGTTCAGCCACCACTAGAATCCAGATGCTCCCACTTAGCTGCACTTGCACTTCAGCCTACTCAAAACAACTGGAAGCAATAGCCTGGAGCACTGAAGATTGAATCACTTGGATAAACCTGGTCTGGACTAGGAGGGGAGTGAAGTCCTGTTACAAGAACCTATAACTTACCAGGCTGTTTACCCAGGAATGTATGTAAAATGGGTTAGGCTTATTTTAAATACCCTCAGAGAGGGCAGGAGTCATGTGTTTCCCAACTGTTCTAATTGCAGAGACAGAGGGAGGGCCTGGTTCTAAATGCTGCCAGGCAAATTAAGAGGCTGAGAAGGATGAGTAGTTTATCGGTCTTTATACTGCCTAAACATACGTCTTGGAAAATGTAATGAAAAGTCAGAGCAAGAATTTTTAAGATCTTAGCAGAGCAGTTGCAAAAGTTCCTCTCTTCCACCAAGACACAGGAGTAAACCAGTTCCACTGTGCCTCACCCCAGAGACTGAGTTAGGGGACCTGTATTGTCCTGATCTCCATACATCAGGCTTTCAAGCAGCAGAGAGCAACATGAGACACTTCCATCAGAGGGGAGTGCTGAGTAGCCCTCCTCTGTCCCAAACCTCACCTGTTTATCTTGCAAATACACCTGACAAACAGAAAGGAGCAGCAGAACAGCCAAATGGCTTGCTGGTCTCTGCAGGCTCATCTGCCAGAGGACACAGAGCCAAGTCTCTGCACAACTGTCCTCTGCCACCTGCCTGCAGCCTCCCCGCCCTCACCTCACCCCTGCCAGAGAAGCCCACACCAATCTAACTTTCACACCTTTGGAGTGTAAAATATTTGGAAATAAAAGAGAAGCAAGCCTGAACAGTGTGCGGCTTTTAATCCCCAAATGTGCAAGCAACATGGCATCAAAACAGAAAAAATTAACAGCTAATGGCTATTTCTTCCCTTTCACTAACAAATTTTGAAGCTTAAAGTCACATTTGCTATGCTATATATGTTTTCTCAGGATTAAATCTTTAATTCATTCAGTACTTGGCACTTCAACCTGTAGATATAAAAAGGAGAAATACTTGACTAAAATCACATAGGAAGTACTGTGTCATTTCATTTTCTTCAGCAATGAAGGTAGGAAGATAGGACAGTTAAAAACACAAACAAAACCGGTCATAAATCTCACATAGTTTGCCTTTCTTCAGAGGCTGGACTTCATAGTGAGTCCTAGCTGCCTGGAAAGAGCTTAACATCACTAAATTCTGAACCAACATCAGTAACAGCAGAGACACTACAGCTATGAAAATGCACCTTGTGCTTTCCCTCCTTTAATGAAATTCTGGTGCTAGGGGTCTAATAACACCAGGCTTTCTGTTTGCAGATAACCTGGCTATACAGTATGAATTTTACATATGGCTCCTCATGTAATTTACTACTTTTTGTTGGAAATATTCCAAACTCACCTTCATATACCTTAGCTGAAATACACACAAAGGAAATTTCAGTTGCAAATATGTTCACAATTTTTAAATGTTAGTTTCTACAACTGTCTGCATAGTAAGGCAGGTGCTTATAGAAGCCAAAATATTCATTTTCATTTCAGAGAATGACTTCCAATACAAAGGTCACAAGCTCTGGTTCAGAAGAGCATAAACTCTTAATACTTTACCAGCCTCAGTTTTCTCTTCCCCACCGTGGAATCACAGGGCTAAATCTTTCCCAATTCCCAACTCGGGGATTAAGAGAGCTTTCACAAAACACAACTTCTAACCAGAATCAGTTAATGGTGTCACTGTTCAAGAGTACACAGGCATCTCCTCTTTCAACCTTGAAAAAAGTTGAATAATCTTATGGTTATGTTTTCACATCTAGACACAAAAATCAACACACAGCCAGGATATACATGCTGCTCTTTAAGTATACAGTAACTGAGATCTGCTTGAAAAGGACTTACACATCACTATCTTAAAAACATGTTAACCAAGATCTTTGGTTTCACACTGTTAAGTTGCAGTTAACTGTCAGCTTGCTTTGCTTTTGGATAGACTGCAGTTTCATACAAATCGCAAAAAGATTCTAAATGTGGCCACCACAAAACGTAGTGCCGAGAACTGAGCAGTTATTGAAGCTTACCCATTTCTACTTGACTCAAAAGCCTTTGAAGAGGCTCTCCAAGTTTGTTTTTAAGCATGAGCCCACTCCTCACAGCACCCCAATCTTCCAATTTTTTCAACAGTAATCAAGCAACCAACCATTTTTCTACTAAAGGATAAGCCACCTGTTAGAACAAGCCTTTCACATGAAATTCATCACATCAGATACTGGCACCAAGATCAGGGAAAGGAGCCAGTTTAAAGTCCAAGACAGAACAAGCAGCAGGTTAAAAAATGAAAAATTTCAAAGAATGCAACCTCATTTTCTAAACAGGCACAAATTAAGCATACCACAGCTGTGATGCATAAGCACCCATGGTGGCATTATATTTAATCTGCCAGAAGACTGCTTATTATGCATTAATTTGGAACAGCACAGGAGTGGCTGGGTGCTAACATGACATCACTTTTATTTATAATAACTCTTAATATCCCAAAGGAAAAGCTGAGAGGCAGATGATCACAATGGCTGGTATCTTAATTCTACTCCTATCTCAAATTATCAGTTAGGCATACACACATTTCTGTCAAGTTGGAACAAGGATCTGCAGATAACAGGTTTATCAGGATGGTGGAATTTGGATAGTGGTCCATTTAGAAGCAGTGGTTTTCCTACCCTGGACAAGTTAACAATAAAAAGTCAAAAAAATGAGGAACAGGAAGGAGAGGGACTCAGAACCCTGAGACAGACAAGAGAAATTAGAGCCCTTGATAATTTTGTTTTTATCTTCAGTAACAGAAGACCCAAGAGGGATGTCTCACAGAGGGTCACAATTTCTGAGATGCTGAAAATATACTAAAAAGAATCCAAATATTTAAGTAAGCTAGGTTTCAGGAAAGTGAGCAGAAAATACTCTGATACTGTGGTGATGTCCCCAATTCTGAACCTGTAATCTCACTAAGTGAAAAAAGTTCACCAAGAACTAGAGCTTGTCACATGGCTTCTCTGGTATCATTAGCATCAGCATGAGCCACTTCATGCGTGTATCTCTACCAGCTGAAGTTTCAATTACATTTCAACTAAAACTCTTCCATTAATTTGAAATGGTAAAAAGATCTATTACACAACAGACTTCCACTTAACCAGAAACTGATAGTAAGTTAGAGAAAACAACAGTTCATAATCAAAGGATTACTTTGAAACTGCTTTGAAGTCTCAAGAGCAGGTAAGCAGTACTTCTACCCCACAGCACACAGACCCAGACTTGCCATGTACTAACTTCTCAGTAATTCACACTGAGACTCAGAACTGCAGCCAGCAAACAGCTAAATGCATCCAACAACAAACTCCTCGACCCTGAATGCAAAGATTACATACACACCTTTAGCTCTTCCAATACCTACGCAGTTCCAGCTTGTGGTGCAAGAGCCTACTCTATCTTATGAACAGATCTCCTTTGATGTGTCATTCAAATCTGAAGGAAGACAAGCACAGCTGTTTGAGTCAGCCACAGCAAATTAAATCAACAGTTTCTTGTCAGTTCTGTATGAAGCAAACCTCCACAACAGGAAACAATATAGCCAGTCTAAGGAAGAGTTCTTTGCCTCTGAAGAACTACCTGAGGTTTTCATCCACCTCCTCCTGATCTAAAATTCTGACCCACCCTCTATTGCTAGTAAATAAAGTTTTCATTTAAACACTCAGATTTAACTTTATTCATACACAGCAAAAGTTCCACCTGCATATTAAAAACAAACAGATTAGAAGTAAATGTTTTATTCTTCCAACTAAATTCCAGTACTACAAGGGCAGTAAAACAATGATACACTGAAAAATTGCAGCAATAAACATTTGTTAAAGACTGATAGAATAAATAAAAACTACAAAAATGAGAAATCATATAAACCCATTCTTAACCCCCAAAAAAGTCATGGAATACAGAAATGCCCTCCTTCACTATTTCACAGGCAGTACTGTGGGCTATTTGCTTAAAATTGTCCTGGGATTACATTCTAACTTAACTGTGATTACAGCTTTGTTGTAGTGCACAGTTATGAAAACCACACTAACTTCAGTCAGAAGTGTCATTCTACATTTTTATTTACACAACCAGTGAAGGGCAACTTCTAGAACACCAGCTTTAATCCTTTACTTTTTCAAACTTATTAACATAAGAAGCCAAATTGTAATGATACAGCAAATGAGGCCACTGGTATTATTACAGGTAGCAAAGGTCCACATCCAGGTGGTACTGACATCAGGGAGCACTCCAAAACCAGTTGCTGCATAAGAGTGGTTGCCACTGACAAAAGCTTGAAATAACCTGTGTTCACAGGGGGAAAAAGTATGGCATTGCTGCAAGTCTTTACTGGGACAGCTTGCAACAATAAAACAGGGTGTATAGGGCAGCCCACATATGCAGAAAGTGTGATTCATGAAACATCTGGTAAGAGAAAAAAAAAAAAAAAAAAAAAAAAAAAAAAAGTGTTAATGATGGGAGTTCACAAATGCCAGCTCTATCACAAACCTATGGCAGTATCAAAACTTGCTTCAAAAATAAAAAAACCCAGCACGTTATGTAAGACAGTTTCTAGGTATTTTAAACAAAAGCTGAATTTTATCACACATCTTCCTTTCAATCTCAGTCTTCCACATTACAAATTTAAAGTATTTTAACTTGGGGTCTAGCTGAAGCTTAACAACAAACGGTGGCCATTTAAATTATTGAATATTTGGTAATTTATTTAATACTGCTATAGGAACCCGAAGAAATAGATACTCACAACTGGCAGGCTGTTCTCCATATCGTCGCATGATTTGATCATGCGTGAACTTCACAAACGCGTCATATTGTTCTGCAAGCATGAAGCATTAGAAGTGTGAATATATTATGTTTAACTCAAGCTGAAAAATATTTAAGGCTACTTTTTTATACATACAAATCATAAGTTAAACACACATCCACTAACAGTAGTTTTAAGTGACTTTACACAGTTCATAGCTGCCATTTCCTTTTCATCCCCAAGAACAACAATGCAGCACATGTTCCCCCTTAATTAAAAGGCTCTCCCTTACAAACTTCTGGAAGTTTGGGAATGGGAAAGACAGTAATATGCTCAAAGAGAATTATGCTGCACAAAGACCTCAATACACCTAACAACTGCTAAGTATCAGACACTATTCTGAAGTAATCAAGTGTGTCCCATTTCACAGATCCATAGTGGGGGCAGAGTAGTTAAGCAAACATGGCATTAAGGTCAGTGCTAGGGTTGGAAACATAACTTCCCTCTGCTCCTATCCCTACCAGATGTAAGAAAATTAATTGAACGAAATGGAAACACAGAAGCACAGGAAAGAGACTTGCTACGGAGTTCAAAATTCTTTTTGGTGACCACCAGAAAATCAAAAGCAAACAACAAACTAAAAGGATGAAATGCTAAGTGACTAACAACTAATTCCAATCACAAAAAATAGCCACAATAGGAGACATATAGTTGACTGTGAACTTCATGAAAACAGCTACTGTGGGATCTGAAGTGAAATTTAGATATCAAACTTATTAATTTGGCTTTGAACTAAGCATTGTTACTTCCCAGAAAGATTATTCTTTCTATACACACATACATACAAATACATTCGCAATATTTTACTCAGTTTTAATATTGCACTCATCAGCAGGATATCACCTTTCAGAATTAGGAAATTGAACAAGGAGAGTAATATCTACCAGATGCCGCTCCTCTCCATTCCCCTTCCTCCCTTGTGGAAAAATACATTTGCAGCAATGTGGGGTGTTCTGAGAAAAGGGCAAGGTCAAAGAAGGCAATCTTCAACCAAAAATGCAGTTAGATTTGTAGTGGTTCCTAGTCCCACAGGTTTGCCCCATTAAAGTCCCCATCCTCTTGCAGGGATGAGCTTCACCTTTGAAGTAAACAGGGTATCAGTAATCAGCAAGTAGTGCAGCAGCAGCCCAACGTACGGACCTGACCCAAAGATCTAAGGACATTCATCCCTGAGTGAAGGGGCCCAGGGTCACAGCAGCCAGTTCCCCTCTGCCCACAAGCAGGACCTCTGTTTCCCTGCAGTTCTGACTGATGGCTTTTCAGCAGCCATGCAAGGATCTTAGCCAAACAACAAAGTAACACAAAGAGCAGACTGAAGGATCTGTTGCCCAGAAACCATTTCCAAAAATAACAGCAACCAGAACTTTTCCTAAAAGTATGGATTAAAGGCCAGAAACCCAACTTGCACGCTTTCTTCTTTAAAGGTTTAAGTCAACACATGCAGCTGCTTTGTAGCATCATTTTTGTTAAAACTACAGCTTTGGAAATGTAAAGAATCCACGGTTACTAAAAATCCTCTTTCTTGTGGTATTCAGATTTGAAAAGTTAAGCAATCCAAAGGTAAGAGCAACCTGCAGTGAACCATTTGAAAATTTAAGTGAATGCTTGTAAAGATACTTACACCACTGGCATCCCATCTCATATATGTTCTAACTATTTTAAATCAAAACGTAGCTAAATGACACGAATACAAATAGGATTACTATACTCTATGGCTTGACCTTTAGTATAAAAAATGTTTTTTTCCACAAACCGATTCAAGCTGAAGTTTCACTTAGCCCCTTACACTCCTCTGGTTTTAAAACCTTTTTGCAAAGGATCTTGCAAACCCAAGTTCATGCTAACAGCAGTTTCAGGTGTGAGGCAGAAGCGGAAAATCAGGGCATTACAGTGGACTAATTCTTCCATTTATCAAACACTCTGCATGAAAGGCAACTGCTCACAAAGGGGAAGGAAAAAAAGGCAGTATCTAACTACCTACAAGAAAATAATGATTCAGAAAGGAATGAGGAAAATATCTGAGATTCAAACATTAAGTCCCTTGAAGAAGCTATTTGACTGAGATTTATTACAGAATTTCTAGTTACATTTCCATTGACTTGACTAGTTTCTAAGAATGAGTATCACCTTACTGTACAAAGTTTAGAAAAGGATGTAATCATTCTGTCAGCAGAAAAACATAACCAGTCTTCTATGTAAGGAATTTCTAAATTCTTTTGGCAGTCTCTTTAAATTCCCATATAATGCTGAAAATGAATTATTGGCTTGATATATGGGATGCAGTAACATGATCTTTTCTAATGGCTGTTTTGGTGACCACCATTGTAAAAGCAAGTAAACCTAACTCATCTCACTGTAAAACCACAACCACCCAAACAGAAATCGCAACCCCTCCCTTCCCAAAAACAGAACCAAAAATGATAATGTTCCCTTTGGGACTGACAGATGGAGCACATGGAAGAAACTTGCCAGGGGTGTTCCTGCTTGTAAAGAACTACAAGTTTGTACTCAGAAAGCGCTGAAAACAAATGTATATATATATATGGTCTTCAAATGGTTATGATGATCACTGCTAACTGAAATGCATTTAAGAGAATGCAAGAAATGACCCAGTTCCTAACACACATAAATCAAGAAAAAAGCTCTACAGAGTCCTAATTCATCAACCTGAAGCAGGTTAAAAAGAAAAACATAGAAATGGAATATTGGGCCCAAGGCAACAGAAGTATTTAGTGCTCTTGTTATAGTTGTAAATAGATGTAAATTTAAGAGGGACTTAGAACTACAGCAATTTATTACATAGCCATGGCAGATCAGCACAGAATATGAACAGGGGCCCAGGTACAGAGACAATACTGTCACAGGCAACCCACAAGCCTGACCCAAGTCTGGTGACTTTCTCTACATGGGCACACCTATAGAAGGTTTTATTCCCACACCTGAAAAGATTAACAAACTTTAATTCTAGTGTGTTTTCAGATGGGAAGCAGAACAGCCATGGGCATTCAAAAGCAGGTTTGATGCCAAAGAGTGCACTCAGATGTTCATTATCATCACACTAAATAGTAAATTACACACCAAATCACACTGTGAAGGCACCTACTTCTGAATGTACCAGAATTTTGGTGCTCAAATACTAGCATGATGCTTAGAAGTAGAGAACTTCAGCAACTAAAGAAAGGTCATATTTACAATGCTGACATTCACATGATCCTTATGGAAAGGTACGTTGGCATCAGACGCCAAAAATAACAGCTGAATGGTGTGAAATACAACAATTCAACACAGAGCATCAGAAATACAGCTGAACTACTGCTGCTCAGGCAGATACCAAACACCACTGGCAGCAGTGTAATGGTAAATACTGGGAAGAGAAAGGGAAACATTAGGTACTGTCATCTTGCCAAATTCCAGAAAAAGGAAGTCAGTTTCCAAGCAGGAAAAAAAGAAGTCCTTCACAAAGAGCTCTTAAGCCAGCAGAATAGAAAGTCTTTCTGGCAAAAAAGAAATGAAAAGGAAATGGTCAATTCAGACATGATAGCAAGAGAAAGTTCTATCTGAAATAAATCCACTGGTTCCATTGATTAGTAATACCCAGGAGTCCTAGTTTCTATCCAAGGCAGCATAGAAGAAAAAATGTATCAGACTACACATTAATTTTTTCTGTCCTGTATGCAATCTCATTCCTTAATCAGATTGGGTCAGAAAAGAAAACCCAACTTAACACAAAAATGAAAAAATTTCAAGCTTTCAAATTCACCCTAACATGTTATTTTGAACTATAATATACCTGCAAGTTTTGTGGTCAAAATTTCTTCATACTCTTCACGGATTTTCTCTTCACGTTCTTTCAGCAAACGTTCACAGATCATTCCAACTTGTCTGAGAGTAAACAGGGGCTGTTCTTTTTTCAATGGTGATGATGCTGCAGATGAAGTACCTAAGATTAAATATTTGGGCATACCAATTTACACTCACAAGTAATTCAGAACCATTTTTATGATCAGTTTTCTTCCCATCTTTTACACTAAAGGAACTTTAAAAAAAATGTGGAGAAGTCTTTCTCTGCCATTTGAACACTTCTCATTACTATTAAAGTAAGACTGGACACTCAAAAGGAAGACATCTACAATGGGCAGTACACGGGGGAATCAAAACTCCAAAGTGTTACACAAACACTGTGAACACCATTTACACAGCAGTTGTTGTTTACAAACTTAAGCTTCTATGTAAAAATTACAGTACAGCGTATTTGTGCAAAGACAGCTGCTCTGCAAAAACCTATTACAGTATCAGGGTATGCAGGATGGTCTCTTGAAAACAATGCAAGCTTTGTGTCCTATTGATTCTTAAAATGAGAAGCTACAATCTTACAGATCAATGATAGTATTGCCAAGAAAAGCAACAGTAACTGGTGAGAACATGCCATAAACCACCAGATAAGTGTGGGAAATTATTTACTCAGCCTAACGACAAATAGCAGAAAGACAGAATTTATTGCCCAAAAAAACCCAACAGTAACTGGTGAGAAGGTGCCATAAACCACCACATAACTAGGGAAAATTATTTACAGACAGTCTAAAAATACATAGCAGAATCATAAAGAATTTTCTGGGTACCTGGCAAAGCTGGTCCAGTAAGAAGAAATGCATGTGGCTGTGCATCAGTAGAACAACAAGGATCTGTCTGTTGGAAGCTATTTTCTAAGTGTCTCCTCTTCTGCATGCGTTTATACTCCTGTTTTATGTTGTACAGAATTTGTTCTAAGAGAAAAACAATTAAAAAATTAAGCCTATAATAATTACATTTCAGCATCTCACTTATTTCCACTCAAACACCAAATACTGTAGATAATTATCAGATGATAAAATCCAGACTCTTAACACACAGCCTGCAAAACCAATCATGTTTTACTGAAGACAAACAATGAAACTACCTAAAAGAAAAGTAACTCAAGACTGTTTCCACCAGGAGAACACTAGCAAAAATGTTGCTAGGTAAGGTCAGGTATTGGTGTCAGAGTACTACCAAGAAAAACAAACAGCATAAGGTTAAAATTTAGGAACTATCAACTATACAATATACATGGATAAAAATGAGGCTATAGAGCTTCTACTAGTATTCATCATCATCCCTTCATACATTTGGTTTGCAATCATCTTTCTCCTCAAGACAGCATTTATCATTCATACAGTTAAGGGTAACAAAAGACTCCAGAATAAAACATGCACATGAAACACCATTTCTCTGTGTACAGTTACTGACATATAGGTAGCAAAATGGAGAGAAAAACACAATTTAGACAGAAGATGTATAAAGCAACTACTGCTTAAAATATCAAAGAACTGGAAACCAAGAGCAAAACACAAAACCCTTCCAAAACATTTTTGACAGCCTGAGATCTATCCAAATAAACACAATAGAAGGATCAGTAGTCTCTTTTAAAGAAGTATGGCAATATGTAGTTCAGCATTCGACTGCACCGAATAAAATACAGCAAGTGCTTTTAATAATCTCACCTCCATTGTAGAATTGCAAGGAAAAAAGTAATCATTGCAATAAAACTATCAATCCTATGTGACCTCTCTGAAATTCCATCTACCAAAATGCTCTCAGGTGCATCAGTGCCCTAACTGCATATCCTCTGGCAATGTAAAACGTTAAAAAAAAAAAAGAGGGGGGGGCAAAAAAGCAAGCCATTTTCTACTTTTTACAGGAGACCTTCGCAGAAAGACTTCCAAAGACACTCTCTTAATGAGAATTCTTTTTTTCAAATGCTCAAATACATTTAAAAAAATTTCCCACAGGATTGGCTTCCCCTGAGACTTCTGGAAAGACAGCTTTCCAAAACTCACAGACATACAAATCCATGTGATCATGTCACAGTTGCAAAGGACTCCACTTAGTACCTTCCTACTTCTGTTCAACATTTTGCCAATACAATACCATTAAAACTTCTCAATTCATTTTCAGGTTTGTAAACAGTACACGACTGAGGTTCCATGTTTGAACATTTTCTAGTTAACAACTGTGTGAAGAAAGTAACTTCAGCTACCAGCTTATTCAGTCAGTGGCTGAAGCCCATGCTAGACCAAGCAGAAGCAAACATTTGCCAATTCCTAGTTCAGAAGTTTAACTATTGTGGTGGTTCTTCAGTTCCGTAAGTCAGTCTTGGGACTTCCAATTTATGAAAAGAGAGGAAACTGTTTCAAGTCTACAGGAATACCAGCATTTTCAGCAAAGGAGCTTCTTGTTTGGATTTTGTCTGTTGATTTAAGGCCTTGATGTTTATATCTTTTCGGTCCCATGCCTACAGTGCTTGTATAATTTTCAACTCTGTAAAGGGAGATCAATAATTTGGTTCAAGGAAGCAGCAAATGCAGATGATGTAATAAAGAAGCGCAGTAGGGAAATGAAGGAAACTATGAGAAAGTGGGGAAAAAAGTACTCAAGGGTGGCTGGAGGTTTCATACTTTCTGTAGGACACTTATACACACTACAATGCAGCGTGGTACAGAAATACATAAACCAGGTTAAACTAAAATACAACCAAGCTCTCAAAATTAAATAGAATCCCATGTAGAATTTGTCACGTGCATACACACTGCAGCATCAGTTGAAGAATGATCCTGCAACTTTTTTACTCAACAGCATTATGGTAATAAAACAATAATTTTCCTCAAAATCAAGTGCTGTTCTAGCTAAAGCAATACTACATAATTTTGAGTGGGAATCAAATTACCTCATAAAATAACGTCTGTCCTAAAGCACTTCTACACTGTGAGAAATGTGACTGCAAACATTCACACTGTATTTACATTAACTGAAAAAATGTAACAGACCACGTGCATCCTTCACTATGACTACTTGGTCTTGGGCATACTTTCCAAATTCTTATGAACTGCAAAAACATCAGCCAAATTTAGCTTGTAACAACTGCGATAAAAATCTTCTCTATGGCTCTCCTTTATATTATCTTTTTTGCAGAAACATTCTCAAGCCACATTAACCACAGAACCATTAAGAAAGAAAACCTAAACAGACTGGTCAATGGATAAAACTGCAAGAGTTAAAACAATTATCATACAGGTTTCCTCCAGCCCTAACAATCCCTGCAAGTAGGGAATAATTCAGAGAAAAAGTTAAAATACCAGCCAGAAGAGAAGGAGCAAACACAACACGGGGGGGGAAGAGGGAGGGGAGGTGGAAAAATCAGGTACTGACTTTGTGAAAACTTATCAACTGGGATAGAAAAATAAAGAACTCTGTGCCAAGGATATGTGATGTATGACAAATTATATTGAATTGTGGACACAGAAGTCTCAATCATACTACAGTAATTTCATCATCTTCTAATTTGACAACACTTTTTAACTTGCCATCTTTAAGTCTTGCTCTGAAGATCAAAAACCTCAAAAAATGCCACTGACAGATATGTTGGGAGATCCTTGTCCTGACAAAACCACTCTGACAGTTAGCATTACTTAACTTCAGGTAAAGGTATAAAACTAAGCACAGAGAGATGGAGGAGGGGACTATTTAAACATGACAGTGCACTGTCTACATTGCAAACAGCCACCAGGAGAAAAAAGTCTGATATTTGAAGTCTTAACTGAATACTTGCTGAGCATGTACATAACCTGATTTGGTAAACAGTATTCCTCTATTTAGCCCAACTTAGGAAATTTAAGACACTACTGCTCAGCACAGAGAACTGGACTACAAGCTCTACCCAGTACTGTGCTGCTAGCAGGCAAGATGACTGTAAGAATGATTCATCTCATACCTCCCAATTTCCACTATTTGTAAAATGGGGATTAATAACCAAGAAACACAAGTTTAATGTAGCACTGAACTGTCCAATGACTTCTCACATAAATGATCAGACCAGCAATGCTTCAAATCAAGCAGGCACATTTTTGCAGCAGCGAAGACTGAGTAGTCATTTTTATTAACATACAGTGGCATAAAATCTTTGACTGTAAACATAACCACTGTGTAGTGAAAGGTCAGCTCGCAAATATTTATGACTGATTTCAAATTAAAATCTGAAAGCCAAAGTGAATTTTGTCTTTTTTTTTTTTTTTTGTTAATCTAGGAGTAAGAAAAGTTGTTTAAATGTACCAAGTTACTTGACACTTACAGTTTTGCTTAATAAATCTACAAAAATATGTCTGATGAACAAAGCTGTTCAAAACAGTTTTTGTAGCATCTCAGCACTTGAAAGAAGCCACAAAATATTAAGACAGTGCAAACCAGACAACTTTTTAACACCACCTATGTGGCAGACATCTAACTGTGAAGCCCTTTAAAACTCTGGCCCAGTTAAATTAAGCTTAGAGTTAGCAGATCTCATTCTCCAACCTAGTTTTGCTTCCAGAAAACTTTCCTGCCTTTTCAAGCTTGGTTTCTTAACCTCCCTTATTTCCAATTAGCTCTAACTATTCTCTCTGCAGCTGACAACTGAATTAAAATGTGCATTTAACTGGTGTCAAACACAGGACAAGTTTTTTGTGTTCCTTGATGTGGGGGCCCAAATTGTCTTTTTTTAACAATTACATGCATTTTAATTAACAAATTGTTTTATAGGTAAGAATTTACAATCCAAAATGCATTCGTTAAAGAAAACCTAATCTGAGTTTCTCTAAGACTACAAAACTGAAGTGAGAACTGGAATCATATGTCTAGAACTCCTCAGATATTTTAAATAAAGACTTCCATCCATCTTATACGTGAAGTTCAAATCAGACATTGAATGTCACGCAATAAATTCACTTGTAAGATGCCAAAAGGAATATATTTAATATGATCAAACATACATCACTGTGACCTATTCTCAGTTTCTTTTTAATGTCACTATATCCCCCATTTTCAGTGTTTCCTACCGGTAAGAGATACCTCTGAAGACACAGAGCTAGCTAACAGGAAACACCAGGCAGAGGTACTGAAAGTGAAAATTAAGCTTGCTGAATCTAGGGTAGTAGCAAGAAAAAGCCACACTGCTAACATACTGAAATTAATTAGTACTTCATAAATGACATTTCAAATTCAAGATGACTATGAATCCCAACCAGTTATGCAAGACTGTATTATATGCCCCCAATTCCTCCTTCAGGTTCAAGACTAAAATAAAGAATGACAAAGGAAGACTGCTACTGTCTCACCATGACAACTAAAGGCATAATGGATTCAGTCAAACACACCTTAATATAATAAAATGCACAGGTGCTCTTTTTTCATCTAGAGCTCTGTGTACTAAGAGCATAAAGGTTCCTGAAATACTGCATTAAGATGAAGGAGAGCATTCACACCAGGATTCTTTCAGAATTTCAGATATGATTCGGGGAACCAAGATTTCATATTTCAGCTGCTTTCATACCCAATGAAGAGGATGAAACATGAAGGGGACAAAACAGAATTCAAATTCGACATCTGAAACATGATCTGTCACACTAATGGTTACAAAGCCAAATATTTCCAACGAGTGATGTCATCTTCTTGCCTCCTTTCATTCATGATAAAAAGTTATTCTTTCAAAGTTTCTAATTACTTCATCCTGACCTATAATTACCTAGAAATTATGTACAAGGGAAACAGCAGTTCAACTTGAAAAGGTAACAAGGCAAACAATTATTTTCTCTATTTTAATAAGTGCTTATCAACTATGAAGGTGCTGATTGTTTCCCCTGAAGGATTTCTTTCTCTTTTTTGGCTTGATTTTTAAACTCTCATCTCAGTTCCTGGCTTCTCTCATTTAGCTGAAGGAAACTTTGGCAAAACACGTAGGAAGGTGACTCAATAGGCTGAAATCAGAGCAGCAGTTTTCCTGG